TACTAAATGTGAGCCATTTTTCCAACACATGTTTCCTTCGACCAATATATCTGGAGTGAAAGATAAGTCGTCTTCTAAGCTGGCAATTGGGGAGAGAGTAAGTAAACTGTTGAGGCACAAAATGGTGAAAAACAGTTGCCCTCTTTGCCATACATATATCCTCCCCTGAATTGTGACATAACCAAGGGAAGGGACTTCTGTATATATACTAACTGTTCAAGAATATGATTAGACATCTGAACGCAGTTGAAAGGTTTTCTTCACTTGTGCAACTTTGCCATTTAAATAAAATTCAATAGTTATGAGGTTAGGCGAGGCACACGTACTGAATCAATATGTTCCTTGATAATGATGGACTTTAGGCCTCTGTTTTTCCGAGTTATGAGGGCCTGGATCCTGCCATGAACAACATCCAATATTGTGAATTCTCTTTTTCCGAGTTATGAGTAAAATTCATGCACAATCACTTGCTCCAATTAACATGCTAACCTTGTAAAATTCAGGAAGATTGTGAAGCTTATACACCTCATTGATAGCTTGAATCTGCTTTGTTATCTAAAATGATCGAAGTTGAAAAATCTCACATATATTTTTGGCTAACTAGTTGCAAAATTTTACATCTAAATTAAAAACTCAAAACAACAAGACTTGTAAGTTGTATAAAGAGAAAGCTTGCAATCATACATCAGCTAACCCAGCAGCGATCATTGTTAACAGAAACATCCCACTTGCTAAAATCAATCCAATACCAATACCTGTTTTACAATAACAAAATGTGTTAGAAACCGAAAAATGGGAAATGGTTTACGGCAAATCAGCATTATGTTCAATAAAATAAGTAAAATTCTTGCATGCAATAGAATAACCATACCGCCTCTGAATCTGAAGCTTCTGCCAAAGCATTGTGACCAGGGAGTCAACCTGGTGCACTCGGATTGGTACAGTTGTTCCCAGACTTATATGGAACTCTCTACCCAAACCAACCTGTTCAAGCTTGTGCTCATCCTTGCGCAAAATCTCGAGAGGGACGTCAACGTCGACAGCATGGAGACCAGGCACCAGAGAAGCTAGCTTGTTCAAAAATAAGGCCATCTCTTACCTTGGTGCTGGTGGTATATAAACTGCAAGTATACAATTAATCAAGGGTGTAAAGGCTCTAAAGGCTCTAAGCTCTCAAAGTCATGGCATTTGCTAATGAAACTATAAGTAGTCAATTAGAGAATTTGGTAATGGAACTCAGCATTAGAGAATTTGGTTACCTGGGCCGGGATTGGGGCCAAAAAGAGAGAAGAGGTGGGGGCAGAAAATTGATTGCAATTAGTAGTTACCAACGGAATTGGGGCTCTTGAGCAGTGACAGAAGAGGTAGGGGCAGAGGAGAGCTCGATTCTTCGGAACTGTTGAGCTCTGGAGGTGGCGGTGGAAATATATACAGAAAAGGAAATAAAAAATTATATATATAAACGGTATAGGCGCACGGCTATACTATTTTAAATATATTCGAATATTTAAAGAGTAAATATATATATTTTATTTAAACCGTAGAGCCGCGCGGCTATACTCGTTAAATATATATTTATGGGCGGCTATACTCTTCACATATTTTACTTTGTATTTTATACTACAGCTACAGGTATCAGGAAAAGCATGAATCTCAACATTGTTCATCTAAAAGTTTGAATGAATGTTGTTTTAAGTTCTTTTGCCTCTTGTGTTTTATTCTTTTATTTATTTTTGGGCCTCGACCTCATGTTCCGATCAAGTTTTTTATTTTTATTTTTATAAATTTAGGGCGGGTTTACCCCAAGTTGAATCTTTTTGACCTACCCACTCAATTGCAGTTGGAAAGAAAGACATTTAAGAACTACAATCTTACTTTAGGAGTTGCAAGTTTTGAAGGGTTTCAGCTAAAAATTACATCCATAAATACTAGAACCAATGCTTTTCTTGAACAAAAAACAAAACTAGAGCAAATCAATCGACAATTCCAGATAACAGTAAAATGTCTGTTGTTTTAATGTTTATTTATTTTGATTTTCTTAAAAAAGTAGTCGTATTGAAATTTCCAAAAAGGAAGTTGCAGACAAAAAAATACAGCAAACAAAAAGGGCCAGACCCAGGAGAGTTTGAGTGTGAATCTTACTTTAGGAGTTGCAAGTTTTGAAGGGTTTCAGCTAAAAATTACATCCATAAATACTAGAACCAATGCTTTTCTTGGGCAAAAGTATATAAAGCATTATAAACTCGTCTAGTCGTCGATGTGGGATTGAAGTATAAGAGATAGGACAAAGCATCTTCTCCACTTTTTCAACCATCTTTTATTACAGAATTAAAGATTAGATGATTTTAAGATTTAATATCTTAAGTAATTAGAGAATTAAGAAATTCGAATAAATTTAGTCCCGGAAAATGAACAGAAGTTAAAGAATTGGGACGAGTTTCAAGTAAGTTGGAAGAGGAGAAAATGGAACTATTTGGCTACGATGAGAAACGGATTAAGCACTACAGAAGTTTTCAGAAAATACTCTTTGTGGGAGAAGGAGACTTCTCCTCTACAGCTTGCTTAGCCAGAGCATTTGGCTCTGCTGCCAACATGGTTGCAACTTCTCTTGACTCCAGAGGTAATTGGATAATCTTTGACTGTTTCACAAATTGACAATTTTAAAAAAAAAAAATCAAGATTACAAGTTATATATTTGCATAACTAATATTATTCTTTGAATCAAATGGTTCCTATGGTAAAATCCTTTCTGCAAATTTTGATTATAAGATATATACTTCGATATTAAGGTTACCTCATTAATGTATTTGCTTCAAATATTTATATAACAAATCTGAAAAGTTACTTTTTTTTTCTTCTGCTTAAATTTTGGGTTTATGACTGAATTCATTTGTATCCTAATTGTAGAGGAATTAATGGTGAAGTATTCAAAATCTTTGAGAAACTTGAGGTTGGCTTCATATCCTTTCTGACAGGACCCGCCCCGAATTCCTCGAAATTCGAGACGAATCCTGTGGAAATTCCGACATCACACCGATCCTTTCTGACAGGACCCGCCCCGAATTCCTCGAAACTCGAGACGAATCCTGTGGAAATTTCGACATCACACCGATGTCGGGCCCACTTACTAAGAACCGAGACTTTCTGCCGAAATTTCGGCAGAATCTCCCCTGTAAATTTGACTTTTCCCAAATTTTCAACTTGAAAATTAATCACAGTTTATATCTCAACTGGCAGCATGCACAAGTTAACAATATGCAATTAAAGATCTTAAACAACTTTACGAATACCACCGAAATCATCAAACAGGATTCCAATCCAACAATCACATCAAGTCCAATCACATACTCAGAATCAAACAAACCTTATAAACATAGTATATTTCGCAGCTGCACCTAGGTGAGACCCCAGGCTACCTACGTATCCTTGGACAAGGGATCAAGCCACACGTAGTTCTCATCTCAACAGTCACAACTCCGATAATATACAATTATTTAAAATACAACCAAAATACATTTCAGATCTATCACAATTCCAATTCAACAAAACACAATGAACACATTCTCAATCTCTTCCTTTATATCAGTTCAACCCCGCAACCATAACCTATCCAAGGTGTATGTACATTGAACACATCATCAATTTCTTCCCTTTATATCAGTTCAATCCCGCAACCATACCTATCCAAGGCGTATGTTGCTGTACAACACTTTCCAGTCCACGACTTAAACATTCATATAAGTACAGGGTACTTACAAAGCACATTCTCAAGAATCTCAATCCAGAATCAAATCCACATATAATATATGTAATACATACGCCTATATATGAATAAATATACATATATAAACATAGATATATAATAACACCCACCTCTCACCATCATCATGTACCAGGGGAAAACAATCCAACTGAGGATTGTTGACTAGCTCACAAGTATCCGCCCTCAAATGGCCATGTGGCTAGGGACGAGCCGTCCAACTGGGGGACTAACTCAACCAGCACGTTCGGACGAAGAATCAAGACCCGTACGCCTGAAACAGCCCTACACGCGCAGACTACCCAATTAAGGGTCTACAACGACACCCCGTTAAGGTATGCCTCGGGTTTCGACATATCCACGTATCCATATCCACTGTGTCCATGTATCAGTATCCAAGGGGAGGTACATATGATGATGCACATCATGTACTGGGGAAAACAATCCAATCGGGGATTGTTGACTAGCTCACAAGTATCCGCCCTCAAATGACCATGTGGCTAGGGACGAGCCATCCAACTGGGGGACTAACTCAACCAGAACGTACGGATGAAGAATCAAGACCCGTAGTGAAAGTGACAGGATCCTGTCACTCCTGTATTTGCACGACAAAAGTCCATCGTCGCACCATGTTTGTGCGACAAGTTTTATTTCGTCACGCAAAACATCTGCGCGACGATTCTTATGCCGCCTCACAAATGTCTGTGCGACGACGGTAAATCGTCGTACTGTTTTTTTTGCGATGCTTATGATTTCGTCGCGCAAAAGTTTTGCGCGACGAACAGTAGCCGTCCCTGAACTGTTGGTGCAACGAAGTGTGTTGCGCGACGAAATGACCCAAATTTTGTCGCGCAAAGGCTTTCTTTACGATCTTCGCGCTACTGAGTTTGCGCGATGTGATTACTGTCGCGCTGTTATTCGTGCGACTGCTTTGCTCTTTGCGCGACAAATTTGTCTTCGTCACGCAAACAGTAAATTCTGGTAGTGGGACCCGCCCCAGATTTCCTCGGAAACCGGGACGGACCCCGTCACTTTCACTGACTGGAAAATGGAGAAGTTAACAGAAGAGGTTGGCTTGTTTTTGGTTAAAGAAGAGTTTTCACCATGGGACTATCCAGGTTACAAAAGTAAGAGAGGAGTTGGGAAATGTGATCAAAATTTTCATGTTGGAGAGTCAAGCACCTTCATATTTGCCAAGCGCTTGTACCCTTGTGCTGCTTCCAGTTTCCACCCTGGTGCTTTGAGCATTAGTTTATGCTCAGCTGACATAGTAGATATGGCTTGCACTTATTCAGAGAGCTTAGAAAGGAAGAAGCCAAAGCATGGCCACAAGAATTTGAGATCTCCATAAGATTTGAAGATTTCCAAGATCACAATCCTCACTACTATTGATGGATACTTCAGGTTGAATTAGAATCCCTGCTCTATCTAAGACCATAAGGCAAATGATTTTATATTTTTTTTAATGGTTTATGTTGCTCTTTATCTCTAACATTTGCAAATTCCCTAAATAAAACACTTTGTTAATTGTGTGCGATGTCATGTCATCTTATTGAGAAAGTAGGTTCAAAAAGGCTAAGTTGCATCAAGGGATTTGACAAGGTAAATTTGCCTTAATTTTGGAAATACATACCGTTTCCACAAAATATTCATTTACGTGGTTTGCTCAGAATGAGCTAGGTTTGAGGTTGAGACCTTTTGAGGGTTTTTAGAAGATTGAACAGGATTTGCAAGACTTCTTTCTCTCTCACTGAAAAAACTCTCTCTAGTTCTAGGCACTACTTAGTACTTACTACCTGCTCGCACATTTTATTTCGGGTTTTCCAAAATGTAATGTATGGTTACACTTTTTTTATGAATAAAAAAACATTCAAGCGATAGTTTAAACTATATGGGAGGGGGTTTCTCTCACACACAATTAAGATACCATGAGGATTCGAACCTAAGACCTTTGTGTCTAGTCTGCAAGTCAAGGCCCTCTCTGGGCTAAGTACTTGTTTAGTTGTTTTGATGATACGAGTAAGACTTGACTGACAGAAAGCTTCCAGAGGAAGGAACCTAAAAAGCCCCAGCTTCTAAAAGAAGGCCACAGCTTCTAAAGGAAGTCTTATAAAGGAGGGCATAATGGAAGTTTTTACTCACAAATGAATTTTGAAATATTATGTAAATATGTTGGCTCCTTTTTGTTTTCCTTTCAGTTTTGTATTAAAAAAAAAAGAGTAAATCACTTATGTTAAATAATAATGGCTTAAATGTTCAAATGGTCCCTGTGTTTTATCTCATAGGCCAATTTAGTCCATGCGTTATCAATTTGGCCAATTTGACCCTTGTGTTTGTCTATGTTAGGCAATGTAGTCCATTCCCTTAAAAATATAAATATAAAATATTTAAAATTAATTAAAAAAACTGTAATTGATTATAAAATTTTAAATTCAATCTGAAAATGGAATATATATTTTTTTAAATTTCACCTTCCCCAATTTCACACACACACCTCATCTCTCACGGCTTCCTCTCTGACAAATCACGGAGATCTTCAAAGCCGGTCACCGTAACCTTTATGGCTCTATTGCCAATTGATCATCCTCGTTGCAGCAAAAAGTCGACGACATTCAGGGCAATGGATCAGAGAGGAGAGAGAGATGAAGGGTAGAGTATGAGAAAATCTAAAACATAAGAGAGAAGAAAAATTGCAGCAAGAAAAGAGTAGGCATAAATTCGACTAAGAACTTTTTTTTTTCCTATAGGAATCGAGACCATTGGAGGTTGAGGTTGTGCGGGTTTTAATCATTTTAGCATTATTATTATTTGAGTTTAAATCTTTATAATTAATTACATATTTATAATTAATTGTAAATGTCTTTTTTAAGGTTTTAACATAATTTTGACGGAAAGGATCAAATTTGTTAACAAATACAAACACAGGGACTAAATTGGCCAAATTAATAACATGGGGACTAAATTGGCCGATAAGGTAAAACATAGGGACCATTTCGACATTTAAGCTAATAATAATTGACAGTCGCTAGCAACAGACGGGAAAACAATGACCAAAATTTAAATAGACGGAGAAAGAAAAGGGTCAAAACACATTGACCAAAAACGTAATTAAATCTTTCATTTTCACCTTTCATGTTCAAAAATACGTTCCTTTGTTTTTGTCATTCGAGGAGAAGAGTTTGGCTCATTTTTCCATTGTCATGCCACCCCACGTGCCTTCTATATAACCTTTAAAAATCACCTTTGTTTTTGTTATTTCAAAAATTCAAACCATGTATTTTTAACTCTTTATTCATAAATATCCTGGAAAAAAAAAATTAAAAATCATTAAAAAAATGTATTATGTAGTTATTACCAACAAAATAGACGAATATGGTGTTTGAAGAAAACATTAAAATGACAATCATTTAACTAAATGGTTAAACTATTTCGAAGCATTGCTTGGTGGGCCATTTGGTTTAAAAGATTACCCAAAAGTGATAAGTAGAGATGCTATTTTAATTTGGAGTTATGTTGTACTCTTGCACTTGCAGCAACAAAACTTATTCTGGCCTCATACCTTTATCATTCAAAACAAAAATTGCGAAAATCCATATTATAAGATATATATTTGGACATTAAAGTTACCTCATTATATAGCGTAGATGTGAAATGGAAGATTCCTAAACTAAACGGAACTTTAGACCCCGTTTGGTTCACGAAACGAATTTGAAGGGAAATCATTTACCATGTTATTTCCCAAGGGATGGGAAATGGAATGTTCTTTTCCCACGTTTGGTAATGCTGGGAAAGTAACATGGAGATATCACTTTATTTCCTTTCCCATGTTTGTTTTGAGTAGGAATGGAAAACAAAGTTTGTATAAATTTTCAGTTATACTCATATTAAATCAAATAAAAAAAGAATGCATTTAATGATATAGTACTAGTCCCTTGGCACATGCTCACACATGTGCCAAATTGGTTTTCTTTTTTCGTTTTTCTTTTTTATTTTATTATTAGAATTAAGAAAAGATAACATGGGTAGTTATGTTCCATAAAAGTAGGACCTATTATCTGATTTTGTTTTTAATATGAAAAAAGTGAATTTACCATATTATCCTCATTTAATTAATAATTTCAATTCTTAATGTTTGAAAAACAAAACTCAACTTGGGAGGATGGCTTCACTTTCCCCCATACTTTTGCTAAAATATTAATATGGGTTTGAATATGTTAGGTTCTTATTTTATTCTTCTCCATAAGGAGATATATAAGAGTTTACATGAGTGCTTTACAAGGAATTAGATATAGTAAAGGATTAGGAAATTATCTCCTAATTATACAATGATTTGACAACTATATAAAAATAGGAAAGTAAATCCCTTAATTAATCAAGGAAATAAATCTCCTTGATTAATTAGGAGACTCACTTCAACACTCCTCCTCAAGTTGGTGCACATACGTCACCAATGCCCAACTTGGTCAGTGAGTCATAAAATACTCTTCCACAAACAGCTTTTGTTAAGACATCTGCCAGTTGATCTTCTGATTTTACGAATGGTAAGCGGATGATCTTTTTCCCAATTATGTCTATCCACCTCAACATGTTTGGTTCGATCATGTTGAACTGGATTATGAGCAATATCGAAAGTTGACTTGTTGTCACAATGCAACTCCATCGGCTTTTCAGGTTTGAAACCCAATTCTATCAAGAGTCTTCTGATTCACAATAATTCACAACCTCTTTGACTAGGTTACCTCCCACGAATGTAAAGTAACCAGAAGTAGAGCGACTATCTGTAATGGACCCAACCCAATCAGCATATGTATATCCGAAAACTTCAAGATCTTCATGTTTTGAGAACATTAAAACCTTTCCAAGGGCTGACTTTAAGTATCTTAAGATTCGATCAACAACATTCATATGAGAAACACTGGGTGAATGCATAAACTGACTAACCACACTCACAGCATATGCACTATCTGGTTTTGTGTGTGCCAGGTATATCAACCTTCCAACAAGGCGTTTGATACTGTTTCTTATTGCTGGATTTTGGCGAACGGTCGGTTTGAAACAGCTTCTCTGACTACCAATCGCTGGCGACTGGTAGTTTTGAAGCAGATTCTCCGTGTTCGAAGAACTAAGGGGGAGGGGGCGGTAGCTTTCCACTGGCGACCGACCGTTTGATTTAGGAATTTGATTTGAGGAATTTGATGTAAGAATTGGATTTCGATTTGGATTCAGGTTGGAAGGTTGGAATTCGGATTCGGATTCGGATTCAGGTTGAAAGGTTGGGATTCGGATTCGGATTTGGATTTGGATTTGGATTTGGATTTGGATTCAAATTCAGGTTGAAAGGTTGGGATTCGGATTCGGATTTGGATTTGGGTTGGGAAACTATATCCATGGCAGCGGAAGGATTTAAGAATAAGAGAAAAAAGATGTGTTTAGGGTTTCAGGATAAGAGGATACGAGAGTGTAGATCTGGAAATATGAGGAATACGAGATGAGGGATTTGATTTAGGGTTTGTGTTTCAAGAAAATTCGATACGAGGATTTAGATCTGGAAATATGAGGAATACGAGATGAGGGATTTGATTCAGGGTTTGTGGTTCAAGAAAATTCGATACGAGGATTTAGATTTGAGGGATTTGGATTTGGGAAATAATATGAGAAATTTGATATGAGGAGTTTAAAGAACACAAAAAACCTGTGAACATGGCTAAGGAACATAGAAACTTCTCTTCAATCCTCTTCTCCCCCTGAAGAGAAGGATACGTCGGAGTCAAGAAAGAGGCAAAATCTCCATGTGAAAGATAAACAGATCCTTTTTCACTCCCCCTCCCCCCCTTGAAGAGAAGGGGAGGAGAAATTTTGATATGAGAATTTAGAGACAACCGAGGATCGATTGCTTTGATACCATGCTAAAATATTAATATGGGTTTGAATATGTTAGGTTCTTATTTTATTCTTCTCCATAAGGAGGTATATATAAGAGTTTACATGAGTGCTTTACAAGGAATTAGATC